CCCACCCCCACCCCCCAGTCAAACATCTTCCAGTTGACTTGGTCTGTCCAAACAGCCGCTGTGCTGCACAACTGCTGTTCTCAACCTTTGCGGGTTATGGCAAATGTCCGAAACGTGAACCAGTTTTGGGTCCAGTGGCACCTTAAAGACTCAGAAGATTGCCAGGGTCTACGCTCTTGAGAGTCCGGGCTCCCTTTGTCAGATACTGGATGTCAGACAATCTGACAAAGATCTTGCTGGAGATCTGGCTGGTCCTTCAGGTGCCCCTGGACTCGACTCTTGCTCTCCTACTGCAGACCAACACGGCTTCCCACTTGGAACACTCCAAAACTTGTCCAGTGTCAGTGGTCCCTGAGGAATGTGTGTGAATGTTCAAAACTGCAGTGAGATAGCAATGACCTTTGAGTCAACTGGCTGTGATTTTTTTTAATACACGAATAGTTGGGTATGTTGGATAATTCTTAAAACGACTGTCTTCAGGCCATGTACGTTGCTCGTTTCTGAATGCATTTAACCCACTTTCTATTTTGGAGGGGGGGGGATTAAAAAGTTTAAATTCTTAGCCTGTCTCTTGGGCCCGTAATGAAATATTTATTTTCCGAGAGCGTGCCTTGGATTTTGTTCTTTGTGGCTGTGGGAATGAACTAGAGTGTTTCAGAGCTGAAGAGGTTCTCTGAAGGGAATTGAGGAATAACAGGGTTTTTCCCCCCAAGTCAGCAGAGGCTGCTGGTGGGTCTCGCGACCCGCAGTTCTGAATGCTGCAATTCCAGGGAGGAGTTTCCACGTATAGTTTCCAAATTCATCAAACTGGGTCGTTTAATTAGTATTGCAGGGAAAAAAACAAAAACAGGCAAAAAGATTTGTACAGCAGAAAAAATATCTCTTTCTTCCCTGTTTTAACTTGCACTGTCCCTGAACTGTACCTCTTCTAGAAGTATTTGAGTGGGAATATCATGATGAAGAAGGTATCTTTGAGTCTCAGCCAACTCATGGCAACCCCATCTATGGAATGTCCCATGCAAGAGACAAGCAGAGGTGGTGTGCCATTGCCTGCCATGCCTAGTGATCCCAAACTTCTTTGGGGGTCTTCCATCCAAGTACTAATCCTGCTTAGCTTCCAAGGGCTTTATTATTATTATTATTGTTGTTGTTGTTGTTGTCAGTATTTTGCGCGTGCGCGCACGTGTGCATGCGCTTGCGAGCCTGGAAGTAATGGTGACTTCTGGTGACCCCTAGTGGCGCTTGGACATTTCAGAGAGGTCTCCCATCCAAGTACTTCCCAGGGTCGGTCCTGCTTAGCTTCCGAGATCTGACGAGATCGGGCTCGCCCGGGCCATCCAGGTCAGGGTTCATAGCTTCCAGGTTTTGATGAGCTCAGGTTAAGCTGTCTGACAAAACTTGCAGCACACAGCTGGTGCAGTGGCCATGGATTGTGTCCCTGATTTGGACTGCTGTCTCATTATGAAGCTAGAGCCTCATCATGGAGGTACTAAGTTTCCTAAGTGAAGACTTGAGGAAGGAAGGCATACTTTTTCTTGACTAAGCGTACTTGATGGGATGCAACCATAGTCTGCTGCTTGAAGGATTTGATTGGCGTGTTACTCTACCATTTCTGGAATAAATTGGTTCATGGTTTGTGGGGAATGGATTAATCCCTCTGTGTGATCCTTGTAATAGCTGGAGATTGCATTGCATTTCTTGGCAGTTTTCTGTGGTGTTGGCCCTGAGGCAACATGATGGTGAAACCAGTGGGGTGCTGTATTCTTTCGGAGAGGTACTGCAGTTGCAGATTAATCTGAGAGCAAAGGTGTGAAAATCTCAAAAGGTTCGTTTTTATGCTACTGAGAAAAGGGTTGGGGTCACAACTGCAGGTGTAAATCAGGGTTCCGTGCTAGGGGGAAAGTATATCAACTTTTGCCTCCAGGCAGTCCTCATTCTGTAACTTGTACAGCTTTGTGTATGTTTTTATCTACTTTTGAGGGATAGGGAGTGGTGTAGAGCATTGAAGCCCTGACCCCCAACCAATGCTCCCTCTAAGCTGTGGAGTCTTGTGAGCAAAAAAATCTGCTTTGTGAGCTACTGGCATTAAAGCTGAGAGTGAGCGATTTGGCTACTGCATAAATCAGTGTGCTCTGAAGCCATCCTTCCTGAGCTAAGACAAAAAATGTGTGAACCGGAGGCTAAAAAACTGAGCTAGCTCACACTAACTCAGCTTAGAGGGAACACTGCCCCCAACTACTGGAAGATGCTGATTTTGCCAGTTCTGTAGCTCCTAAGATTCCAAGTATGTTTTCAGGGTAGGGTGGCCATCCCCCTGATGGGGGCAGCAGGTCCCCAGATTTCAGGGGCCCCAATCTGCCACTGGCCTCCTGGCTAGTGGGGAGAGCCCCACCCCCAAAGAGCCCTGACATGCCCGGGGTAATGACAACACCCAGAGGTGATGTCATCGCTCTGGGCTCTTCACACGGGGGACTCTCTAGCATTTGGCTAAAAGCTATGGGACCATAGAGTTTTTTGGCCAAATGCTAGAGCATCCCCCACACAACCTGTCTGGTGCAATGATGTCACTTCCAGAGGTACAGTGTGCGCACCAGAAGATCCCGGGGAGGACCTGGAGCCCCCCACCGACAGATGGTAAGCACCTGGCAACTCTGCTTCAGAGCCATAAGGACTAGAGCCTTTTTTTAACAGGCTAAAATCTACAGGAAACGGAATTGGTCACTTGCATTCTGCAGTGAAATTTAAGCAAAAATGCCCCTGGAGGCAATATGACTTCAAACAACCTGCGCCCAGCACAGAAGCTGTGTGCCATGTACAAGAGCTCTGAAGGTATGCACGTGGATTTCCTTGTCTGTGCAGTTTCAAGATTACAAATGGTACACAGCTAGGGTAATGCACAGAACTGGGTTTTCAAGGACAGCTCTTTGGGGGCTACTAAATCAGTCGCCAGCAAGGGCTCCTGCTTCACATAAAGACTTCCCCTCTCCCACCACTGTCAGGAGCTGCACACGTGCATGGGGCTGCCTCTGACAGCCAAAGTCAGTGGGGTATCCTTTCCCGCACAGAAGTGCTGTGTGCGTGTTAGCTCCCGCTAAGCAATATCCTCTGCCAGGCCACACAAAGAGGACTTACTGGAGCTGTCCTCCGAATGGTCCATGCGCACAGAGTGAGGCTGGCATGCAAAACACCCTCCTTGAGATGTTTGTATTTGGGTAAGATGGTAATGTCGAACAGATGTGATGCCGACAGCCTCTGCACGAAGGGGGCCATTCTGCTACTGGTCTTTATTCCAGAGACATGTGAGGAGGGAATGGTTTTTATTGGTGCAGAGCTATGGGGAGTATTCCTGTCTTCATCGACTTTCAGCACATCTTGGAAAGAGAAGAGAAAAGGAAAGGGGGGGGAAACAAAAGAGTGTTACCATAATTAGAACATGACGCCCTGCTCCACCCACCCCTAAAGCAGTCTCCGCTACCAAGGGGGGTAAAGCTGATTTAAATTTGGAAGGCCTCTTGGATTTACAAACTGCTGACTCTTGTGCGAGCGTGCCAAATCCAAACAAAAGAAAATCTTCCTTACTTGGCCTTAGCCACAGTTACCTTTATACGGCAACTGTCCTGTTGAGGACACACATACACACACACCCGTTGGACACGTGAAGGGAAGGCCATACGGCAACTGTCCTGTTGAGGACACCCGCACACACACACACACACATACACACCCGTTGGACACGTGAAGGGAAGGCGTTGCAGCATGGTGGCCTCCAGTGGGGAAGGACCCTCAATGTGTGCAGTTCTGAGCAGAGAAGCGTGTGTGTTTTATGTCGCCCAAACCTAATGCCTCTTTAGCGTAAGTGTGATAGAGATGGCGGGGGCTGAATGATGAATTGGATGAATAGTAAAAAGGATTGTTATCTGCTGGGGGGGGGGGCTGCAGTCCCCAGCGCCTCCAGTTGAAAGGATCAGGTAGAAGATGATGCGAAAGACCCTCACCTGAGACCTTGGAGATTCAACAGGACAAAGCTCAGCTCGATTGACCAATGGCCTGACATAGGATATGGCAGCTTCATGTGACAGGGTACTGTAGGGTACCTGTGCATGCACACCTGCACGTGGGGATTTTAATGTCTCATGCGGGGTGGTTATTTTTGCTTGACAGACAGCAGGCTGTTTCAGAGGACCTTTTCCCCATGTATCTGTGCTTGATCTGTGGCAAAATTAGGCTTACTGTATAGCAGGGTGATGCAGAGTCTGTGCCTGTAGCCACGTTCCCATATGTGTTCCCACACGTCTCGGTCTGCTGTCTGGCAGTCCCACTCCTTACCACAGTTGATCAAGCTTACCCAGGAGTCATTTGCTTACCTTGAAGAGGAACGATATAGGCGGGGGGGAGAGAAGAGGCTGCCTGTTTGGCTGTGGCAGTTCAGACTTCAAGAGGAAGTATGTAATGTTCGTGCCGTTCCCTGAGGTGGGGGAGGCAACATGTGGCACATCTGCCAAGCAGTGACATAACCAGGCCAACCCTTTTGTGTGGTGCTCAGGGCCAGTTCTCTGCCCAAGATGAGCCCCAGAGTTTCAGTCCATTTATACCTCTCCTTTCGCCCAAAAGCGGCTTACATCATTCTCCTCTCCTGTGTTTTATCCTCACTACAACCCTGTGAAGTAGGTTTGTCTCAGAGTGTGCATAACTGGCCTGTGGTCCCCTCAGCAAGTGGAGGTTCAAACCTGAGTCTCCCAGGCATTCTAAACGCCATACCAAGGTACTGCCCATGCCGTTGGGCCTTAGTTCTGACCCCGTGTTTCTGGCCTAGTACTACCCGCATCTGTCTCTCCAGTCCCCCCATTTTTATTTGTCAGTGCACCAGCATCTTCACACGTGGGAGTTGTGTGTTCTTTGGCTCTTGAGCCAGAAAGGTTGTTTACCTCAGCCCTGAGGCCTTCCAAGCCCATGGTGATATGTGGCCGTGAGTAGGGAGGTTCATGTAGGTACCCATGGGAGGGGCTGTGGCTCAGTGGTAGAGCACCTGCTTGAAAAGCTGAAGGTCCCAGGTTCAATCCCTGGCATCTCCAGTGAAAGGAACAGTCAGTGGTTGATTCGACAGACCTCCACCTGAGACCCTGGAGAGCCACTGTCAGCCTGAGTAGGCAACACTGGCCTTGATGGACCAAGGGTCTGATTCAGTGTAAGGCAACCTCCTGCACTCAGGTGTGTTTGTAGTGAATGGTTTGCCCACCACGAGTGAGGGAACAGCTGGGCAAACTCTGGACAATCATACAGAGATGTGAGCCAGGATTTCTCCATCCCTCCTCTGAGATATTGTGCATACCTCAGGAAACAGAGGTCCCTTTGGGTGAGGTGGTGGTACAGAAGGTCGCTAAATTTTGCATTTGGGGGGTGATGAGAAACTATAAGTCAAAAAGCTCTTCCTGCCCTGACCCGGCAAACCCAGGCAAGCCAAATCTTGTTAGATCTCAGAAGCTAAGGAGGGCTGGCCCTGGCAAGTATTCGGATGGGAGACCTCCAAAGAATTACCAGGGCTGGGAGGCAGAGGCAGGCTATCAAGCCACTTCTCTGAATGGCCTCCATGCCTCAGTAGGAATTGGAAGAGGCCACCATGACTTCCAGGCACAGACACACACACACACAAAAAGGTGCAGCTGTACCTTAATTCCCATGGGTAGGATGGATGAGAATTTTTTATTTATTTAGGCTATTTCTGTGTCACCTCTTCAGTGTCCTGCTTCAGGCAGCTTACAGTTAAGAACATCACAATATAGAAACCAGCCATTAAAAAGAAACCATTGGACATAAGCAGCATAAAAACTGTCTTATAACAGAAGCAGGCCATTGCATCACATTACATATTAGGGTTTAAAAAACCCTAATGAAAATCCACACAAGCATTACAGTGTTCAGTTTTTCATTTGCGCCCTTCCTTCCCCCCACCACAACAGCCCTGTGGAGTAGGACTAGGTTGACAGAAAGAGCCTAGCTGAAGGTCATCTAGCCAACTTCCCAACTGATATCGGCTTGGAACCCAGAGCTCCACAAGCTGAAACAGGACAGTAGTTGTCACACTCTAGGTTGGGGCAAACAAACAGTGCAATCCTTATGTCTGCTTGCTCAGAAGTAAGTCCCATTTAATTCAGTGGGTCTTGCACCCATGGATGAGTTCTTTGGATTGTAGCCTGAATGGGCCAGGAGAGAATGTCGCCTGTTGCCCAAAACAGTTAGTAGTGCTGGCTTAGATGGTCACCTGGGGCATCTACCGTAGAGTGTCCTGGCTGGCTGTTTTTTAAAAAAGCTTTTGTTAAACATCTTCATTGTTTTATTTGTTGTGTTCCCATTTGCTTCCTTCCTTGCAATAGGGTGATTTGAATTTGAAGTACCATTTGCAAATAAACGAATGCCCTGCCTTTGTTTGTTTCTTTGCTGTTGTTTTGTAAAATAACCCAGGGCAACGGCCGTGCTTCCGCTGGGTGTTGATCTGAAACCCTCTTGGTTGCGACTGACTCTCTTCTTCTGCTCTCTCCCAGGGGTCTCCTGGCCTGACATGCACCGTCTGGCTGACCGAGTCCACCTGGAGGAGCTCAAAAAAATTGGCATCCTCCAGGGCAGCGTGGATGACATGGTGAAGGTTCACCTGGGAGCAGTGTTCATGCCACACGGGCTGGGCCACTTCCTCGGCATCGACGTGCATGATGTTGGAGGCTACCCAGAGGTCAGTGTTGGTGCATTCTCAGACGTCCCAGTTAAACCAACCGGGCATTTCTTTTGCAACTGCAAGAAGACGTTGAAGTCTGGGGGAGGATCAAGGCCCCACTCCTTCTCTCCTCCTTCTCCATCCCCACCAAGGCAGAAATCTTCCCCATGTCCTGCTGTAGCATTCAGTATCTTTACTTATTCAGGGCTGGACCCTGGTTACCATGAAACTTGCAAAATGACACTCTCCCCTCCCCCCAGCCCATTGATGGGGGGAAAGTGCCATCAAGTGGCAGCTGCCTTATGGCAACCCTGCAGAGGTGTCAAGCTCATTTTTTACGAGGGCCGGATCTGACATGAATGTCGCTTTGTTGGGCCAGGCCATAAAATGTAATGCCAGGTACTGGAGAGATAAACTTTATCCATGGCCCAGGCAAACCCAATTGACGCTATTACTTTTTACTCAAAATGCAGACAAAAGCAATTGATTCCTAACAGCGAAAGCAGCTGACTTACTGGGGAGCCCACAAAAGCCCCAGTAAATGTACTTAATCATATGCAAGACTAGGTATTTTCCAAGGGATACCGTAAAAAGGAGAGCACCTTATATTTCATACATAACGTTTGTTTGTGAGCTGGGTAAGAGCCCTGGATGGGCCAGTTCTGGCCCCCGGGCCTTTCGTTTGACACCCCTGCTGTAGGGTTTTCAAGGCAAGGGGTGAACAGAGGTGGTTTTCCATTGCCTGCCTCTGTGTGGCAACCAAGGACCTCTTTGGTAGTTTCCCATCTAAGTACTAACCAAGGCTGACCCTACTTACCTTCTGAGATCTGACAAGAACTCATGGTGAGTTCTTGGTGGAAATTGCCATCAAGTCACAGCCAACTCATGGTGACCCCCATAGGGTTTCCAAGGCGAGAGACGAATAGGAATGATTTGTCATTGTTTGCTTCTGCATAGCAACCTGGGAGTTCCTTGGTGGTCCAGGGCCAACCCGGCTTACCTTCTGAGGTCTGGCAAGATCGAGCAAGGGTTGGCTAGTCAAGCCAAGGCCAACCGGGGATTCTTGGTGAAAAGAACCATCCAGTTGCAATTGACTCATGACAGCCCCATAGCATTTTCAAGGCAAGAGATGGAACAGAGGTGGTTTGCCACCGCCTGCCTCTGCGTTGCAACCCTGGACTTCCGTGGTGGGCTCCCATCCAAGTACTAACCTGGGCCGACCCCACTTAGCGTCCAAGATCGGATAAGACTGGGCTAGCCTGGGCTGTCCAGGTCAGGGCACAGCCCATTGAGTCCCTTGACATTCTGAAGAGGAGAGTAAGGGATCCGCAGGAATGTTATGAAGGGCAAACTGGTGGGTGTGTGTGTGCGCACGCGTGCAGTAGGAGGGCGGAATCGGCAAATATCCCGGCACCCCTCCTCTGCCAACTGAAGTGTCATTCTGCAGGCACTTTTGGAACCAGCCCCGCTTTATCTGTTTGTTCGCCCATTTTACCAGCTTGGTTAAACTCTTGGAAGTAGCCATGCTGTCCGTAACAAACGTTGCAGTAAAACCAGGCTATCTAAAAGGAAGGTATTAAAGCGGTTGCATGAAACAGTCACCAGCAGGCTCTGCAACTGGCATCACAAATCCCTCTAGAGATCCAGAAATCCTTCCTGAACCAGAAGGTTATCTTGACGGACCTTCTGAACTTCAGAAGGGAGTCAACCAGGAAGGCTTCCCAGAGGAAGGAATTCTCCCAGGTCACAACAGAAAAAAGACCCAGATCATATCAGTGCTGTCTGGGCCTCCAGACAACTGAAATTGTGCGTCCTCTTGCTTCTGGCGGTGTCTTTTGTTTTTTATTTTCTGGGTGGCAGAGAGCTGCCCCCTGACCCCAGCGAGTGAGCCAAGCTGTGTGCAGAGGTCTCCAGCTTGGGGAAGGAAGGGTTGGCTAACTTCTCTGATTGCAAATGTTCTTCACTTTCCTCCCCCGATTCCTCCCAAAAGTCCAGCCAGCAGCCAAACAATACCGTGATTCACTCCTTTCATCAGGCACGGAGCTCTTCCTGCTTTTGAGGGGAAAGCTGACACTTGAAGCCGCTCCTGCCATTGGGGTTAGTTGTGAGAAGGGAGACCTTTGGGATTCGAAACAGTCAGAGGTTGCTGCTTCTTACCTGAGCCGTCATTCAAGGGATGGCCAGGATCTGTGCATCTGTTGCCAGTTTGGTGTAGTGGTTAAGTGCGCGGACTCTAATCTGGGAGAACCGGGTTTGATTCCCCACTTCTCCACATGCAGCTGCTGGTGTGACCTTGGGTAAGTTACTTCAAGAACAGTCCTCGAAAGAGCTCTCTCAGCCCCACCTCCCTCACAGGGTGTCTGTTGTGGGGAAGGGAAGGGAAAGGAGATTGTAAGCCGCTCCGAGATGCTGAGTGAAGGGTGGGGTATAACTCTAATCTCCTCCTCCTCCTCTTCTTCTTCTGCTTCTCCTCCTCCTCTAATTAGGAGAAATGGAACACTTTGGTACAAATGCAACTTTACTTCCTTACAAGCCATAGTTTTCTAATCACAATCCAGTTTGGGAACATAACCTAGGGAAAATCAAGCCCTTTCCATTGCTGGCATGAATCGCAGTTCCATTTTACATGTGTACAAAGCAATAATAATGGTTCCTTCGTAGACTGCAGTCTGATAGCACAATCTGAGTACCGATTTGTGAACCACGGTTGTGAGGGAACCCGGTCTGAGTCTGTGCGCATGTTGGCATGTCTCTGCATGCTGTTCTCATTGTGCAATGGAATGGATGAGCACTGCTGCACCCTTCCATGCCAATCATGGCAGAGTCACAAGTTAATTTTATTTTTTCTTCCCCTTGCTCTTTTTTCAAGCGTGTACAATTTAAAACTTGGCTCTCCCTCATTTCATCTCTCAATTGCTATCCGTCACAAAGTTCCTTGTGACCCACATAAACCCATTCCAGATTTTTTTTAATGTGCTTAGCCAAGTTATTTACTGTTGGGGGGCATTTCCAGTAAGCAGCTCTCCCACAAATAAAAAGCAACCATCCCACAAAAAAAAAATGAAAATTGCACATCACACAGTAAAATGTGCAATTCTTCAACATCTTCTAGCAGCTTTTTCAGAAAACAAAACTCAGGCTTTAAAGTGAGAGATTCAGGTAAACTCCTGCAGGCTGGACTTCCAGAACCACTGGTCATGACCCACCTGCCCCACCCTTGCACAGAGTCGTCAAGAATAGGTGCGGTCCCTTTTTTTAATCCAATCTTTCCTCTGGGGAGCACCATGCATGGTTCTCCCTGCCTTCATTTGAGCCGTACAACATCCCTGTGAGGTAGGCTAGGCTGAAAGGGTAACCAGCGCAAGGTCACCCAGTGAGCTTCCATGGCAGAGTGGGAAATTCGAACCAGATCCTAGTCCAACACTCCAACCACTAGGTCACTGGGCTGTTGGACACCCACCCCCCCGAACTCAGTGCCCAGTCCTGTACCACATCGATGGATTAACCTTTTTCAGTGCCAAGAGATACCCCATCACATCTACAAACTTGCCTGTAGCACAAGGACTGGGCTAGATCTACTGATTCCCTTTTGCTAGCGGAGGCGTTTTCCTCCTGTGGAAGGAGCCTTCACAGGACGCAAGAGGAGCCACGTTGAAGCGCATCTGCCGACTTCCTGGATGATGCAGCACTTTGCCACTTCCACTCTCAGCTGTTCCACACTTCCTGACCGTCTTCTCTGTTCTTATCCTGCCTAGGCCAGCCATGGCTTCCCCTTTCTCTGTTTCATCCTCCCTCAACAACTTCTCTATATGTGCATCAGTCATATCCCGCCATTCTCTCTAGTTAGGACTCAAAAGCGGCTTGCATCATTCTCCTCTCCTCCATTTTACCATCACAACAACCCCACGAGGTAGACTAGGGTCAAAGTGTGTGACTGGCCTCAGGACACCCAGCAAGCTTCCCATGGCAGAGTGGGGATTCGAACCTGGTCCTCCCGTATCCTAGTCTAACCACTGCACCACGTTGGGTTGTGAAGTAGGTTAGGCTGAGGAGAAGCCACCGGCCCAAAGCCACCCCGCAGTTCTTGCAGCAAAGCGGGAGATTCGAAGCAGAGCCTCCCAGACCCCCCAGTCCAGCACTCTGACCGACGCTCTACATTTCATTGGTATCGGCTTGAACAGAAGCCAGGTCCTGACGGGCAGACCCCAGTGCTCCAAACGCCCTTTTGTGAAACGTGCAGGACCAGAGAGCCTTTGACTCTGGAAGTCAGACCTGGGGGAGATGGGTCTGTCAGGATGCCTGGAGTGTTATGGGGGGGGGGGGGGGCAAAATGATCAGCCAGTCTCTACAGAGCTCTCAGCTCCTTGCGAGTTTGGCTCGAGGCTGCCCATCCTCCAAGATCATGGCGTTGTCCCAGTTCATTTTAGCTTGTTTATTTTCAATAGTCATCACTCACACGCCTGATGTGTAAGCAGAGCAGGCTCTCGTGAACTCCCGGGAGGACACTTTGGCTGCAGAGTTGTTGCCTTTCAGCCCAGATCGTAAAATGCACAGAAAGGGAGTTTGGACAAGAGGAGTCCTGCCCGTAAGCCCACTTCACAATCCATTGAGTGGAATCTAGGTGGGAGGTGGATGGATTTGAGCTGCACTGCAGATGGAGAAGTGAATGTTGAAGATGTGCAGCACAATAATGCGCATCTTTAGGGCCCTGTCCCATCCCTGTTCCCTGGAAAAACTGGTATTTTCAACCGCCAAATCCAGGGGGGGAGTTGGATCCTATGGGATTTCCCTCCAGCAAAAGGAGACTTGCCCTGATGCAAGAGGGGCTGGATCCCATGGAACTATTCCTCTAGCAGAGGTACTTCCCTCTGGTGGAAGGGGCCTTGCCCTGATGCAAGAAGCATCTTTTGCTAGAGGAAAGGGCCCCGTGGATTCATTCCTCTAGCAGAGGCAGTTTCCTCTGGCCTTACCCTGAAGCATGAGGCTCCTTCCACCAGAGGAAAGCGCCTCTGCTAGCAGAACAGATCCACAGGACCCATCCAACCCACACGCCTATGCACACAGATCTTCAGGAATCACTGCCCCCTCCAAAATGCTGGCCATGAAATTCTGTTTGGACCTTGCAGGAATTTCCCGGGGTCAATACCTAAAGCTGAGAGGTGCTAACTAACTACAGGGTTTACTGGTGATGATCAGTGGAATTGTCCTGAGCAAACTGAGCCAGTTTGGTGTAGTGGTTAAGAGTGCGGACTCTTATCTGGGAGAGCCAGGTTTGATTCCCCACTCCTCCACATGCAGCTACTGGTGTGACCCTGGGTCAGTTACCAGTTGTTTCAGAGCTGTTCTCTCAGGAGCAGTTCTCAAAAGAGCTCTCCCAGCCCCACCTACCTCACAGGTTGTCTTTTGTTGGGGGGGTTGTAAACTGCTCTGAGACTCCGAGTGAAGGGCGGGGTATAAATCCAATCTCTTCTCTCTCTCCTTTCTTCTCAAAAAGGCCAGTGGCCTTATGAATGGAAATTGGTCCTGTAAAGAATTGACTGCAAATGGTTTGGGGCGGGGGGAGGGGAGGGGAGAGGAGAATGGGACCACTAGTTTCATCCAGCACAATTCTTCTTATGTTCTTAAAAGTGAGCTAAGTGTGGAATTTCCTGACTGTTCTTTTCCAGGGCGTGGAACGCATTGACCTGCCGGGCCTCCGGAGTCTGCGAACCGCCCGTGTTCTGGAGCAGGGCATGGTGCTGACAGTTGAGCCCGGCATCTACTTCATTGACCACCTCTTGGATCAGGCCGTTGCCGACCCAGTTCAGGCTTGCTTCATCAACAACAGCATCCTTCCTCGCTTCCGAGGCTTCGGCGGGGTGAGTAACTCAGTCGGGGCTTCGGCACTGGGTGTCTGTCGTGTGACCCTGCGTGTGGAGGGGGAGCTGTGGCTTGCAGCTGTGGGGCAATCCCGCTGCACATGTAGAGGAGTCTTAAGTTCAAAACGTTCCACATCTGCAATCAACCTTTACAACAGTCCTGTAAGGTAGGACGGTGCGAATCTCCTCACATTGCAGAGAGAGCATGAGAATGACACGCCCAAGGCCCTGTACTGAGTTCTTCAGATGGGAGAAATTTGAAACATATTCCCAGCTGCTCTTCCTCTTTCCAAGTGGGAACTCTTCTCTAGGGACAGAGTTACATGCAATGCTCCCTCTAAGCTGTGGAGTCTTGTGAGCAAAAATTCTACTTTGTGAGCTACCAGCATTAAAGTTGTGAGTGAGCAATTTGGCTACTGCATAAATTAGTTTTCTCTGGAGCCATCCTTCCTGAGCTAAGACAAAAATGTGTGAGCTGGAGGCTAAAAAACTGTGAGCTAGCTCGCACTAACTCAGCTTAGAGGGAACACTGGTTACATGTGATGCTTTATACAAGCTGCCAGCAGGGCTTGGCAGCCACCCTGCAGCTGCCAGCACTCGCAGGCAACTCCTGTGTAGAAGCGCAGCAGGAGACCAATTCGGGTGGGACTGTGTCGTGGGGGCAGAGAGACCCGTGCCTTCCTCCATTCCATTTTTTCGGAAGCTGTGTGGCTCCTTGATAGGGCAAATAAGGCCCATGGCCATTTTGGTCCCCCAAAACAGCATGGGGGATGGGAGACAGGAGCCCCTCCTTCCTCCATGGTCTTAGTCTGAATTGGGCCCCTGCTGTACTTTTACACAGGAGCAGGAGCTGCCTCCAGGGTCTTGCAGCTGTACGGCTGCCAGTCCTTGTTGACAACTCGTATGAAGCATAACATGTAGTTTGGACCTAGGGGACTGCAGGAAGAAGGAGAAGAGAAGAGACTGGATTTATACCCCGCCTGTCACTCAGAGTCTCAGAGTGGCTTACAATCGCCTTCCCTTCCTCTCCCCACAACAGACACCCTGTGAGGTAGGTGGGGATGAGAGAGCTCTGACTGAGAACTGCTCTTCAGAGAACTTGTAACTGACCCAAGGTCACCCAACAGCTGCAAGTGGAGGAGTAGGGAATCAAACCTGGTTCTCCCAGAGTCTGCACTCCTAATCACTAAACCAAACTGGAGAATGGAGAAAGGGGGGCTCCTGATATCACATGAAACTGTTAGTGAAATAGGATGACTTCAGATAAGACACAGAAACATGAATGGCTTGTGCTTGCACACCATGTTTAAAGCAATTCAGAGCCATGCCCGAGAAAGTGTGTATCCAGTGAAATGTCAGCAGAGTTCATCTCCAAGTATAAGTAGTATTCCCTGAACACAACGATCACTACACTGTATGTGGCCTGATCCCCGTGCAATCCTTGTGTGCTTACCATTTCCTGCTTTGAAATGCCATTCTTTACCTGGGTTAGATTTAATATTTAAAAATGTAGGATAACATTCTCTAGTGCAAATTCTGTGCTTTGCACAAGCAGAAATAGCTTTTGGGTTTTCTCTGTGCAACAGCATATTGCAGTTTTGTTTTGTTTTGTTAAAGAACTTGTGTTAATAGAAAGGGCTTTTGTGCTAGCAAAAATGGACCACAGGGTGTGTCCCAGCATGCTGGGGAGGCAAACCCTTTGTCCCCGTTCAGCACCTTTCAGCTTCTTGCCTTTTATGGACACTTCGTGCATCAGGTAATAGCATGCACACTTTGTATTTGCTGTGTATTTATTTAGATATTTCCACCTGGCATTTTCCCCCAGTGGTAGACCTAGAGCATCTCTGCCTCGCAGTGACCATCTAGGTGTCATCTCTGTGGACTGAGAACAGAACCCCAGAAACCCACCCAGAGAAGATCTGTAGGAATCGGTCCAGCTGTCTCCAAGTGAACTTTCATGTCTCTTTATAGACCTTCTCCCTGGGGGGCGCCCTCATTGGGATGTTGAAAGCTTGCAACTTCCAGACCTCTCTGGGGCAAGTGCATCAGTTCCATAATTCTGGCTATAGTATCCAGTAGTCTGTGGATTTTGGAATTCTTGGCAATGAAAAATATGTGCTAAGGTCTTTGATGCATTGGCCCTGGAGAGATCCTTAGGTGAGGAGCCATTGGGACTGCTTGATACTAGGATCCAGGAGGGTATCAGGGCAATTAAAAGAAAGAGGACAGGGCTGATGGCCCCGGAGCAGCATGGAGAAAGAGGCTGAAGGTGAAGGAGTTGAAGAGGTAGCACAAAATCATCTTAGTGACCTGGATCGCCAGAGGTTTGGAAGAAGAAGAGTAGGTTTTTATACCCTGCTTTTCTCTACCTTAACTCTCTCCCTGCAACAGACACCTTGTGAGGGGGCTGAGAGAGTTCTGGGAGAACTGTGGCTGGCCCAAGGTCACCCAGCAGGCTACATATGGAGGAGGAGTGGGGAATCAAGCCCTGTTTTCCAGGTTAGAGTCCACCACTCTAAACCACTGCACCATGTTGGGAGATAGAGCTCTTGTGTCAGGGGACCCTCCACATTCACTGAAGTCAGCCACTGAATAGCAGTGCCAGGAGGCAATAAGGGGGGAAGGTGTCAGCTTCTGTGCCCTGTTGCTGGCTGTCTAGAGGAACTGGTTGGCCACTGTGTGAGAGACAGGATGCTGGACTAGGTGGACCCCTGGTCTGAACCAGCAGAGCTCTTCTTACTTCATTAAAGACTGCTCCTTCCATGGGAGGAAGGCATCAGTGCAAGCAGAACAGACCCAAGGGGTGTTGAATTCTCCATCATTTTCTGGTGGGATTGTGCAGTGGCTACCAAACCGTGCAGATCTCTGTGGCTGGACCTTGATTCAAGTGAGCAGAGAGACTGGTGATCCCTATGGAGGAAAACCAGCCTCTTTTGGGGAGACAGTGCTATACACACACACACACACACACCCTGCCCATGGTAAGGCCATATTTCACCGCGGCGCGTTAACTGGGTCAAAGCAGTCATGGAAACAGGGCCTCTGCTGTAGCTGAGTTTGCATCACCACCTTGATAAAGGGAAGGCTCCATGTTCGCTTAACAGCCATGAGTCATTTGTCCTCAGGGCTTTGAAAGCCCTGTGTGCCAAGTATACAATCTTATCAAGCCAGGTGGGACTTTACCTTCTGCTGCTGAGTCCTCTCCCCCGGGTTGGAGAGGTTATCTTGGCTTCGGGCTGTTCCTTTACCCAGTGGGTCTGCAGGGCAGCCGGGATCCCAGGCCCTGAAAGGAGTGATGTGTGCCATTTCCAGTGCAACAGATTTTTGCAGTGTCAGCCTGAAGCAGCTTGGGGGAGGAAGGCTGCATTTTGGCACAAGCACCCTGCTTGGCACCTACACGGTGCCATGTGAGAGGCAGGTCCTCCACATGCCTGGCCTCTCAGAAGCCAGACCAGCCCCCCTCCTGCATCCGCCTTGCAAGAGATTCTGGCATTTTGAAGACTCCAGGCTTGTGCATTAAGGCTTTTTCCCGTCACCTTCCTTTTTTCCTGGGGCCAGTGTTATCTCTTTGGAATGACATCTCCTACAATCCGTAGGCACAGATGCTGCACTCCAGCCCTTCTCAGAGCACAGGGAGAGCTGCTTGTGTCAAACTGATGTTTCCCCGCCCCTTTGACAGAAGCGGGTTTGTTTCATAGGTTTCCTTTTATCTTGGAAGTAAAAGGGCTAAGTATTGTGGGGCCAGGGGATTGCAGGTGCCCCCAGGGGGGGTCCCAGTCCCATAGCAGCCTAAGGCTACAGAAGGAGAGGAGCTGGCCAATAAAAAGCGGGGAGGGGGGTGGCCTGGGCTCCATTATGATTCTGACATGGGGCTGGGTTAAGGGGGGAGGAGGAAGAGGAGGAGGAGGAGATTGGATTTATACCCCGCCCTTCACTCAGAGCGGTTTACAATCTCCTTCCCTTCCTCTCTCCACAACAGACACACTCTGAGGTAGGTGGAGCTGAGAGAGCTCTGAGAGAACTGCTGTTGAGAGAACAGCTCTGAGAGAACTGTGACTGGCCCAAGGTCACCCAGCTGGCTGCATGTGGAGGAGCGGGGAATCAAAACCAGTTCTGCAGCTTACAGTCCGCTGCTCTTAACCACGACACCAAACTGGCTCTCCGGATTGGGCTGTCAATAGCAGCCAGCCGCTACAATCCGATCTCCAGATGACTGATAATGTTGCATACTGGCCAGGCAGTGGAACATTGTAGGTTAAGCACAACCGTGGTGTGGCGTCTCATCCTTAGGTGTCAATGATTTCATCTCGTATAAAATAGCACAGCCAATTGCCACACATTTAGTAAAAATTGGTTACAGACAATACAGATAAACACTTTGTAACAAAAAATGGGCAGTGGGGTGGATCTTTGGAAATAACCCTAAAATAAATGCAATATTTAATTAAACAATGTTTCTTAGTCTGAGAACATGGAATATATTATGTGTAACCAAGCATTTAGCACAGATAAATAATAATTGGGGGGGTGCATCTCTAATACATGTAATATCTGTTATGAAGTAAACACATTTAAACCATGATCCCAAATGCACTCGTAGCGCTACAGGCAGGTCTTGCAAGCTGCAGCGTCTGCCCTGGTACCAAAGCGTGCTTGGCTGCTTAGCAACGACAGAAAGTTGAAAATAGAGACCGTTCCTATTGTGGTCAGCGTTTGGGGCTTAGAAATCACGTTAAGGTAAGTCCTGTGTGCCCTGACCTGGATAGCCGAGGCTAGCCCCGTCTCGTCAGATCTGGGAAGCGAAGCAGGGTCAGCCCTGACTAGTCCTCGGCTGGGAGACCGCCAAGGAAGCCGGGTGTTGCTAGGCAGAAAGAGGCAACAGCAAACCAGATCTGAGCGCCTCTTGCCTTGGAAAACCCTACAAGATCGCCATAAGTCTGCTGCTACTTGACAGCCGAACCCCCCCCCCAAAAAAAACTCTCCTGTGTCTATAGCTCTCCCCCCCAATCTAAAATTACCATTGCGATAAGTACATGTTAAAAATGCAGCATGAAACACGTTACTTTAAAACTTTATTTTAAGCTGGTGGGCTTGGCGTGTCATTAACACTTATTTTAAGCGGCACTTCCTGGCTATGTGCAGAACCACCTCCCCCCCCCCCCCCCAAGACGCGTGTATTTAAAAACCTCTATGGACAGCAGTGCAGTCAAGCTGACTTATGATGCCCCTGTAGGGTTTTCAAGGCCAGAGACACATGGCCATTGCCCATTTCTGCATAGCAACCCCGAACTTCTTGGCGGTCTCCCATCCGAGTAGTAACCACTGTGACGACCCGGCTCGGCCCATCCAGTGCTTACTGCAGGACAGACAGACACACACACACACCCAGACAGCATCAAGCTCCACGCAGCTGCTGCTCTTTCGGTGGATCCTGGATGCGTCGCACGTGTCTGCCTAGCTAGGAAGCAGGACGCTCTCTGCAGCCCCTTGGCTCCGGGGCCCATCAGAAGCATTGGGGCAGTGTGATAGTTACAGAACGGATCAGACTCTGTGTCATCGGAAGAGCCAGGCTAGTTACCCTGGCCCACCTTCATTGCTTTTATTTGGATGCTTTGACTTCAGACCAGAAGGCTTTACAACCTGATTCCTCGCCAAGGTGCCTGGTCTGATCCTGACTGGCCTCTGGTCTATTTCTTTGGGAGGCTGCAGTTCTCGCTTATTAGATGGAACCTGAGTGGGAAGAGTAGTGCCTCTCCCTCTACCCTCTGAGAGAGAGAGAACTCTGCAAAGTGTATTTAAGTCAGGTCCATAACACACTTAAATTAATGTCAAACAAATTAGACAATCTCGTGAACACCTCATTGAATACTTTAATAGGGCTCGTTGGCTTGGCTTTGTTTAAACAAATGGATTATTTTGCAAGCAGGAGGGCAAACATTAAGCCAGCATTATTTTTAGATTAAAACGCCCAGAGGTCAGAGACAATTAAAGACGGTGTGTGGTTGGGGTTGCTGGGTGGGGGGGGGTTGTGTTCCTTTGGATTCGACACCTTGCTAAAATTGATTTTTATGGCCGCTTTTGAGGCTCAGCTAGCACAGTGCTGATAAGATAAGGGGATGAAGCGACTGAGTTGGCATATTTAACCTGTGGAGGAAATTGGAAGAGAGCAGAGAACAGCCCGGCCTTTTCATTCACACCCAAATGAGAACTGGAAAGGTTCCGAAGTTCTTAGTAACACTATCAGCTGTAAAGCATCGGTTGCCCTGATTTGTATTTTTAAAAAAGATGAGAGAGCCAGCATGCATAAAATTGGTAATGGAGCTCAGCCCACAGAGTCACAAGGTCCCAAATAGGGAGAGTGCAGGACCCGGGTTTGGGAGGGCGGCCGTGAACCTAGCGCTGTGTCGTTGGCTCTGGTCTTTCTCTGTAGTGGCTCCAAACCGATTTCAGCCGATTAAGAAACACACCAAGCTGCATCCACGTTCTCCGTGCCAAAAGGCCTGTCCAGCAGCCGAGCATTTTCATGAAATGGGGGACTGGGTCCACCCCTCTGCCTCCCACTTTCCCCAGCAAAGGAAAGGCGATATGGGATTCGGTTGAGCACCTCCAGTTGTGCTCTGATTGGCCAGGCCTGATCCTGACTTGGTATGGACAAACCCATTTCCTTTTATGTCAAGTGATCTGGTGCCACCATGAACTCGAGCACGCTGGTCTTTTCTTGTCTCTTCCCCAGGTACGAATTGAGGAAGACATTGTCGTGACAGCCACCGGGATGGAACTGCTGACCTGCGTCCCCCGCACTGTGGAAGACATCGAAGCCTTCATGGCCAAAGCTCAAAGTGGCACCAAATCCTTTGCTTCCAGCTCTAACTAAAAGTAATGGCAGGCTTCCTCAGAACTGGGATGCATTTAGTTCTGCAAGTAGCCCACTGGGCTTAAAGCAGTGGTATTTCCTAAGACAGGGACCTTTGGAGGTTTCAGATGCTCAGTAATAATAACCAAGTGCCATATAATAACCAAGTGCCAAGGACCTCAGCCTAACTAAATGTTTTTTTTAATCATACATGTAGCCTTTGTATGGGGAGGAGGTCCCCCAATTTTTTAACAACTGCAAGCATCAACAATATTCACCTTTCTTAACTTTGGGATGGATCATTATGCCAGACATTATTAAGCTGAACAAATCAATAAAAGCTTTGCCTGAAATATTACTCTGTTCTGATTTTCTGGGGTTTTGGTAAGGTAGGATGCAAATTTCAGTCCATTTACTTTGAAAGAACACAATTCAGAGCGATACGATTGCTCTTTGAGAGGAACTGGTTGGCCACTGTGTGAGACAGGATGCTGGACTAGATGGACCATTGGTCTTATCCAGCAGGGCTCTTCTTATGTTCTTAAATTAAGATTCCAGATATGATCCCCAAACATTAAAGACCATGGGACTCACCCAGATGGATTTACTGAATTCTTTTCACTACATATCCTACAGAAGGAATGAACGAAGCTTCACACATTACATTGCAGAGCCATAACTAACTAATTTTGTGCCAGAGGCAAGAATATACAATTGCATTCCCCCGAGTTATTTTGGTAAAACAACATAATACATAGGTAACAAGAAGCAAGGATAATAACATCACAGCATTTATTTTTGTCATGATATCTGCATACACAATTAACTAATGTATAAGTGAGTATCTAACTTACTATTCAAAAATACAAAAGGAAACTACGTCAAGTGTGGCCATTTTTTTTACAATTGCACTTTTCACTCTTTCAATGGCATTAAACATTCAACAAGATTTTTTTTAAAAGTCTGCTTACCACCAGACACTAGGAACATTAACATGAGCCACCTGGCACTGGTGACCTGAATAATCTTAAAACGTTTTTATTTCAGACTTTCTCTGATGCCACAAAGCAAACAATTACTATTCTGAACAAGAGGGGGGGGGGGAGTAGGCACACAGAACCGTGAACGTAAACGTGGTGGAAAGTGCTGTCCAGTCACAGCCAACTGTTAAGGTGACCCGGTAGGGTTTTCAAGGCAAGAGACATTCAGAGGTGCTTTGCCATTGCCTGTCTCTCTCTGCATAGCGATTTGCTGGCTTCCCATCCAAGTACTAACCAGGGCCAGCCCTGTTAGGTTGCAGGGTCTGACGAGATCGGGCTAGGCTGGGCCAACGAGGTGTGCAAGGGACATGAACGTATATGGTACCACATACAGTTTGAAATTCACAATGCTTGGCTGCAGTGGTAGCTGGTGCCCAGTGGGGCTTGCAGGGCAGGCAGTGGTGGTCAGAGTCAGAGCAAACTAACCCTGACGTTGTCACCGTTTTTTCCCCTTGCACACTAAGAACACTCAAACAACCGTCATCAGTTTTATAACAGACAACATATAAATGAACTGAAGAAAAGTCTCTGACCTTGGTTCAGTAGGCTTGGGTCCAACCATCTCGGTCCACAACCAGCCCTCCAACCACTTAGTAATACCACCCAGTTCAGTTTCACTGTTTTGTCTTTAATTCTTTTACACCTGTAACAGTCATAAGCTTTGTTCATAGAAAGCCGCAGACCACAAATTCCACGCATGCCTATTTGAGAGCAAAACTTACTAGGCTCCGTTTACTTACAAGTAAATAAGCACTGACTGGTGTGACAAGTCCACGTTAGGAGAAAATTCTTTCTGACAGTGCAATCCTATGCAGAATTACTCCACTCTAAGCCCACTGACTTCAGTGCACTTAGACTGGAGTGACTCTGCACAGGAATACACAGTGAGGAACCTACGGCTTCTTCTGGCAACATTACCATCGAAGAAATAAGCTTCCTTTTAAAATCCTGCAAATTGTGTATTTTTTGTGTTCACTTTGCAAGCTTTTATATTTGTTCAAAGTAGCTCACTGTCTCATAGACAAATGACAAACTCATATTACTGCATCATAAATGCACATGGCGTTTAACAGCAGAAAATTCAGCAGAAAAAAAACCTTTAAAAGTCAGATTTCAGTGTGTGCATAAGAGAAATTAAAAAAAAAAAATAATTCAAAAGCCAAAACCATGTGATAGGACTAATTGATACCAACCAAAATAACACACCACAGTATGCAAGCGTTCAGGTTCTTCAGCATTTTTCAACAGGCTGGATGTTAAAAAGCAAACAGAAACGGGTTGGAGGAGAGAGAGATAAAGTCTCTCCAGAAGTCTAATGGGAGACGGACAGACTGATTTTCAGTGTAGTTTGAAGCACATTGTGGATTCAGAAGTCCAGTTGTGCTCAGCGGAGCTTACCCCCTAGTAAATGTGCATAGGATCGCGGCCTTTGTGTAGCACAACTGGCAGGAAAGTAGCTCTACAATGAGGGACACACACCCTTGATTACAGAAGAACAATAAAACAGAAACCCCTTGCCTCTCCACATTGCTAGATAAAGTGTTCTTAAGTTAAAAAGTAAAAGTCAGGCCTACATGGATGGCCATGGATCTCTTGGGGGGGGGGGGGCTTTAGGGGCTTTACACAGTCCTCCACCCCAAAGCCTGAATCAACTGAACAGCCCTTCAAATTTACCATTTAAAAAAATCACACCACACCCTTTTTCTCCCTTTCATCAGGCCAAATGAGCCAGGAAACAATCAACTCCATATCATCAGCAGCCACAAACTCTCCTCTCCCCCTACTCCTTACCAGAAGGCCCAGGCCCTTCCAGAGGAGCCCTGCACAGTAAAGGCTTCATCCGGGCCAGGCCTCAGCAAAGCACAACCACACCCATTGACTTCTTAGCCTTCCCTTAGTTCTTGCTGCTTCAATTGGAACTTCCGTTGGTGCAGAATGCAACCGCCAGGATTTTGACTGGAGTGGGTTGTAGGGACCACTCCATTTTTGGCCCGTCAATACTGGCTCCCAGTTTGTTTTCAGGCACAATTCAGAGTGCTGACGTTGACCTACATGGTCTGGGACCAACATCCCTACAAGACTGCCTTCTCCCTTAAGAACCCACCCCAGCATTACAGTCACCTTTGGGTGCCCCTGTCATCTGCATTGAGGCAGGTGTAGGGGTGCCAGGTACTAGCTTGGAAATCTCCCGCCTTTACAACTGATCTCCGGGTGACAGAAATCACTTTATATGGAGAAAATGGCCACTTGGGAGAGTGGGCTATGGCATTATACCCATTGAAGTACCTCCCCTCCCAATACCCCACCCTCCTCAGTCTCCACTAGGGCTGCCAAGTGGGGGCGGGTGGCGGGGAAACCACCGCTTTGGAGGCCCAATTTCTGCTGCGGCGGAATTGGGCCCGGGGGGGAACTCCGCCCCCCGAAGCTGCATCACCAGAGGTGACCCACCCACGTTGCTCACGTTGGGGGCGAGGCCCAGATCATCGGGGGGAAAACCATATGGTTTTCCCCCCAACGATCTGGGCCACGCCCCAAACATGAGCGATGTAGCACGTCACTTCTTGTGACGTGCTGGTGGCGTGCGCACGAACGCGTCCTGGAAGAGCTCCCAGAGCCCGGCAAGGCTCCTCCGCTGCCAAGGGTAAGTACACTTGGCAACCCTAGTCTCCACCCACAAAATCTCCAGGTATTGGGGTTATCAAGTACCTACAGCGAATCGGCGGGGGACACATAGTTCTTGGCAGGAACATTCCCACGGGGAAAACACACACGCTGCACTATACTGTCGCCCAGACGTGATGTAGGCACGTAGCCGGGCAACGCTCTAACAATGGGGCTGAAAACTCGATGGTACCGTCGAATTTTCAGCCCCATTGCCAGAGTGTCACCCGGCTACGTGCCCAGCATGCTGATGCCACGTCTGGGCGACAGCATAGTGCAACGCGGGTGTGTTACAGGCAGGAATGTTCCGGCGGGAAAGCATGTGTCCCCCACAGATTCACGGTAGGTACTTGGTAACCCTACCAGGTATTTCCCAACCCAGAACTGGGAACCCTAGGAAGGTGGCAACCCAGGAGAGGACCTGATTGGTCAATATATCAACCAAGCTTGTCAGTTATCTGGGGCCAGCGCTTGGCCCATCCACAGCTGAGGTGCCTGGGGCAAAGCCAGGAACTTACCCAATACTGCAGGAGCCATGGGACCCACCCACCCATCTCCCTTATACCTCAGGCAGACACTGTTGGCTCGGCCAGAACTCCCAGGATGGGACCCTCGGCAGCAGGTAGCTGGGGTAGAACAAGCCTCAGAAGCCAAGGCCAGCATGGAGGCAGCCAGCAGAAGCCCAACCATTATGGCTAGGTGGGTCATGGGAGAAGCCCAGCCATCCAACAACCTAGGAGGAGCCAGGCAGGGAAGGCCTGGCTGAAGACCTCCTAGGACCTGGCCAGTGAGGCAAAGGCAAGCAAGGATGGAGGAGCAGCCTGGAAGAAGTGGTGCACCAACCCCTGGCCCTGATAATGGCTCAGGCCATAGGGGCGGGGCCATGGTGAGGCTGATCGGCAGGAGTGGGGAGAAATCATATCTGGTTGCTCCCACAGCCATGCCAGAGAGGAGTGTGCCATACTTTGGAAGAACACTGCTTCGGGGGATAAGGTGGATTTGGATGCTGCAACCCACCCCCTTTCCTATTCTGAGGCCTAGGGAGACCCCAGGGAAGTTAAGTAGTGCAACGACTGAACAGCACCAGTGAGAAAACCTTTCATCAATCTCTATTTTAATATGCCTCACCCTCTTTCTGTAGTTTTGCATTGGGTAGGCATGGGTTTTGGACAAGAAATGATCTTGTGGGGGCGGAAACCTTCTAGCTCAAGTGGAGGGACTTGGCTGAGGTCCAGAAAGACAAGTAGTCAAGAAGGCTAAGATTGATTAAGGAGGGACCTGACAGCCTAGTAGTATCCTGGACTGGTAGTAAGTTCACTAAGTCTGTAGCTTTAGTTTACTGCAAAGGAGGCAAACAGCAAGGACCTGGGCGTGGTGGGGCACTGCCTCTTGCCCTAATGGACCAGCCGTCCCTGTTCAGTTGGTTCAATTTGAATTTTTAGAAATACACCCTTATCTTAATGGCATGGCAGTTCAGGACAGTAGGTGCCTATTTTATTATTTTTTCCTGCACCCCTCAGCTTTTGTGCACCTGAGGCAAGTGCCTCACCTGCCTTGCTCTGTTACATTGCACACGCATGTCCAGGTAGCTGGGGTATGGTGCCATCCATGTGCTGATGACACAGCTGTGTGTCCACATGCACTTAACTGCACTCTTAAGTTACTTCTGGCCTGGATTCATCTCATTGTCTTTGGATCAGGAAGCGATTGAAGTTGCTAAGAGTGCCTTTTACCAGGTTAGGCTGGGTCAACAGTTGCAGCCGTTTCGGAGAAATCGTGTAGCCTGGTTACCCAGCCAGTTGGATACACCTTGACAACATTTAATATATTAAATAGTGTACATGGGGCTGCCCCAGAAAACTTCAATTTGTATTAAAAGCAGCTGCTGAAGTCCTAACTGGACTCATCAGAATGATCTTCCAGTACCAGCATTTCAGCTGCACGGGCTTCCGAGTTGTTTCTGGGTTCCTTTTAAGCAGCTTATTTTGAAAGCGCTGAACTAGTGGTACTCACTGGCTCCGGAGCCACAGGTGGTGCTATGATATGCCCCCTGCGACTCTTCTGAGCACCATTCTCCAGCGTGGCACCCATTGCATTTCAGGAAAGTGGGCGAGACCACTGCCCCGTAGCTTGTGGGTGGTTCCCATCTTAAGTCAGCTGCCATTGGAGGATGGGTAAACTGTCCCTGAAATGTAAGCCTCATACCAGAGATGACTGGAGAGGCTTTGGCCTCTCCAATATCCCTATACCCTTCTCTGCAGCTCCGAGCCTTTCCCCGTATGTACCCCCAAGAGCACTTCGGTCGGGGACCCAGAACCGTCTGGTGATTCCGGGTCCCCGAGAAGTAAAGTTTGCTGCGACAAGGGCTAGATCTTTCTCAGTGGCGGCCCCTACCTGGTGGAATGAGCTCCCGGAGGAGATCAGGGCCCTGCGGGACCTTTTGCAGTTCCGCAGGGCCTGTAAGACGGAGCTCTTCCACCAGGCTTTCATGTAGGGGCCGCCACCACCACCACCACTACCAACGGTGGCAATATCGTCGAGATCGGGAGTGCCCTTGATAGCTCAGTGGCAGTGATAATTACGTGGTAACGAGAACAACGGATTGGCACGGACCACCTACTGGACAGTGGTACCCCAATGGGGTAGCTGGAAGACACTACTATAACAACTTAAGACCATCTTGATAATGCAAGGACTTTATTGTTAATAATGTTATTGGTTATGATTTTACTGTTTTATTGGATTTTATGTACGGGCTTGTTGCCCCTTGTAAGCCGCCCTGAGCCCGCTCGCGGGGAGGGTGGGGTAAAAATGCCTAAATAAATAAATAAAATAAAATAAACCCCTGCTTTCTGCTCTTCACAAAAAAACCACACAACTGAGTGGCAGGGAGCAGAAAGCCATTTAAACCCCTTTCCTGTTCCCTGCTGCTTTCATGGGGAAACCTCAGTTTTCTGCTCCCTTCTAAGAGTGACGGGGAATAGAAAGCAGGGGTCATGATGAACCACTACGAACTGGTTTGGTTCCCAAACCAACTTCCTGGTTCGGTTCATGACCAAAACAGCAAAATGCAGTTCGTGCCCATCCCTACTCCCCTCTGTGAAGTGGGGAGGGGGATACTGTTGCACTCCCTTGCTGTTACCCCAAAATACCACGGTTACCACTGTGCCAAGAACACTCAAGCCCAGACTACTGACCATTATGTGCTAATTGAGCCTGTACTTGATGCAGTTCTCCCTCCCCCCCCCCCCATGAACTTATCCTGCCCTTCCTCCAGTATATTCCATACAGCATGCAGGGGGTTATGCCACTTGATCCTCTTAACAACCCTCTCTGGGAGGTGAGACGAAGAAATGGCAATTTGCCCAAGGCTTCCTAATAAGCTTCATAGATGAGTGGGGCTCATAGCCCAGATCTGTCTGGTGCAAGTCCAACAATCCTAATCTTACTCCACTCTGGGTCTTGTACACAGCAAGCACAGATTCTTTAGAGGTCTTTTATAAATGCATCTTTCTGCTACAGGAATATGACAGCAATTAGGGAAAAAATGAGTTGAGGGATGCAGAGCAGGGACTGCTTCCTGTTTGCTACTTCTCCAGTGTTTGCACTTGTAGAAATTCCTATACCTGGATGCAGACTAGTTCTCAGGTACCTTAGCATTACAGAATCTCTCTCATACAGGTGAGTGGTTATTGGTTTTGACCAAGTCCTGATGCTATTTTTACTCATCCCAAGAATTTAGGCAGCTGCTGCTTGCTCCCTCTGTAAAGAAACGTCCAGTTTCCGTGAAAAAAGTAAATATCAGCATAATTTATGTAGAGGTTTTGCTTTTTAATTTTCTATCATGACTGAATTTTTACCACAATCTTTCTAAATACATATACAACACAATGACTGGAAAGGAAGGGGAGGTATAAAACAGTCATTTGCGGTAGTCCAATCAAATGCATACATACCATGAATGAAAATATTTTTTAACAGAAAATAAATTAAAATAAGATTACATTAACTTCCCTGCTTTGTTTCATGTAGTACGTTTCCTATATGACAAAAAATGTATAAAGGGCTTATTAACAACATTGGAAAATTATCAAAAAGCTACCCCGCCCCCCAAGGAAAGCCAAAGGGCGAAAGAATTTAAAATGTTGTTGGTTGGTAGCCATACGAGGACAACTTCTCGTTAACAAGAATAAACTACCCCAAATTTGCTTGTAATTCTACAGGCTATTAAACCACCAAACCTGGTTTGGCCCACAGGGTAGTCAGCAATCAAGTCTGCATAGAATTAGCCGAGACCCTAGGCCAGGGGTGTCAAACATACGGCCCATGGGCCAGAATCGGCCCACCTAGGGCTCGTATCCAGCCCGCGAGCAACTGGTTATTACCTTTATTGCCAGATGACAAGAGGCTGTGCATTATGCCCCTGTATCCTGTCCCAGTGCTAATGTGTAATGGGCAGTGGAAGTGGGAGGGTGGGCATCAGGGAGATACTATAAGGAAATCTTGTAAGAGTGTTAATGTTTTAAGCATGTTTGTATTTTGAGTGAAAAATAATATCATTAATTGGGTTTGCTTGAGTCCTTATAAAGTTTGTATTTCTGGTACCTGGCATTGCATTTTATGGCACACGTGGCCCAGCCCAACAAAGTGACACTTATGTCAGATCTGGCTCTTGTAACAAATGAGTTTGACACCTCTGCCCTAGGCTGCTTGGTAGAAACAGTGCCATTGGTAGAAACAGAGTCATGTGCAGTCAATATCACAGCCTTCTTTTCAATGTAATGCCACTGTAGCAGGCAAAGCTTCTGGATTGTCCTTGAAATATATTCAGCTCTCCTGCAGGTTGCTAGTTATCCCACAAGGCTCATGGACACAATTCCCACCTTCAAAAACACACTGGATCTCTCTACAGTCCTCACCCTTCTTCTCATCCTTCCAACTTTTATTTCTTAAGAACAGCTGCCAATCCCCCTACAGGTGAGAAACAATCTCTCAGCAGGCCCAAAGAATAGTAAGCCTCTCTCCTCACTATGCATAAACTACAAAAGCTGTAGTCAGCAAGATTTGGGCTTCAAACATGAAAGGAGGCTACTACCCACCCCGCTCCCCAAAATAAATCAGCTGAAGAAATTTTAAATGGTATCTTAACCAGCGTCTCATTCATCACTTAATTTAAAATGAAGTCCGTTTTCTATGCTGTGCATATTTGTTTTGACACTCTATTGAAGTCAAATCAATCAACTAGTTTAAGCTGTCCCCCAAATTAAGAAATTTGAGCTGACCAATTTGATTTGCATAAATCTGCACAAAAAGCGGCTTAAGAAAAAGCATGCATTACAAGCAGGCACCACCTTAGAAGAGGCCCTACAAGACAGAGGAATGACTTTCCTAAGAGAGCACCGGCTTTCCATGATTTCTGCAAGTCCTCAGATTAAAAAATAATTTATGTATTTTTTTAAAAAAACATGCTGCCGTTTTAATTAGGTTTTTAAATTAATAGCCTAAATTATGAATCGACTAAAAGTTTCAGCCATGGTGAAGGCAATATTGCGGATGGATGCTTGCCAATTTTGTCACTTTTTCCTTAGTCAAAAACACCAGAGCAAATAGCACATTAATCATTTCGCTCCAAACAAATACTTAACGATAATAAACAGGTTGCAGTTTACTAGACTCATCCCTCTTCAGTGTTAAGCCTACTATTTTAGAAAAGACACCCACAAAATGACAGTTGTTACAAAGATTAGAAGAAAAGGTCCTTCTTTGTTGCTGCATCTGATGTGTAAGGAGGGCAGTGCCAGCTCTACCCTGCCTAGGAACTGGGCAAGAGAATCTACTGTCCGGTGCCATCTGGGTTTGTTGGGGTGCTCTCTGTACCAACAGGCTGCACACTGTCTGTGAAGTTGTGGGCATGTTCAAGAAACAAGTCTTTGAGCACACTCAGCTCCTTTGTCAGGAGTTTGATTTTGGCCTCCAAACGTTCATTTTCTTCTTTAAGCTGGTTGACCCTCTGGAGTGTGTCCTGTGCCTTCTGCTTGCTCTTCAAGCGGCTCTTTTTCACCGCCATGTTGTTTCGTTCCCTGCGCTGGCGGTATTCATCGCTGTTCCTGTCAAGGGCAGAATTCTTCTTGCCCTGCTTGCTGGGAGGCGTCGCTTTCCCTCCCCCTCCAGGACTAACAGGCACCAGCTGAGGGACCTGTTGCAACCCACTGGTGTGTGCTTGGGTGAAGATGACACTTACTCCATTGGTTTCTGCAGTTGTGTTCTGCTGTGATGTCTTGCTCATTTGGACAGACTCTTCTTTAAACCCACTGTATGATTTAGAAGACGGAGTAAAATGTTATGGGTTTCCAAGACGTTGCCAGAACAACCTTCTCACGGATCAATCAAAAGCTAAACCTAGGAAAAAGAAAAAAGAGAGATTATAGAACACTAACAATACCTGTTCCCCACCACTAGCGTTGGCCTTCAAAGGCTGTGTAATTAATGCTCCAGTAGACAAATTTCATAATGGGGTGGATCCAACCAACCATCTGCCAAGGTTCCTTCCTCCAACTCGAGGGGCTTTTCCTTCAATGAAAGAGCCACTTACTTGTGAGGAAACCTTCTTAGATTGGAAAAAGGCTTCAAACTTGACGCAAAAGGAAAGATGGGGAGTAAACATTTTGATTGATAAACTTTGCTCAGTGGCATGGTAGGATAGCAGCTGGATCAACCCCACTGTTTATGTCAACAAACGCCATCTTATGCAGCTTGCTGCCGTGTGCCATTCCCAATGCCCTGGGCACAAAGGGAGGCTTGTTTTGCTTTTCTGACAGCAAGTGTTCCTGTGAGAGGCATCAGTGCACCAATCCACCTCCTGGCTAGCTCAGCATACTAGACCACAGTGTGGAAAAGATATGACAGACCAGACCAGACCAGAAAGCATGTGAAAGCAGTAACAGTTCAAAACTGCTGAATGCTTTTGATTTTACTTAGGTTAGTAGGGTCCTAGCTACAAATGCCAGAACAATTCCCAACACTCTGAAATGTGATCTTGAAAAGCCAGGGGTTACAACTGAATAATGCAAACAACTTTTTTTTCACTTGGCCAACTGAGTCAGAAACAGAAACATCAGTGACTTGATATACTTGGGGGAGGGGGAAGCACAACAAGGAATGATGCACCATCCCTCTTTGTAACGTCCAAAGTTGCTGGTATGTTTTTAATCTCCAAGGCGCTTGTATCTTTAAATTGGGAAAGATAAAAATTGATTTTTCCCCCTGTAAACAAAAATCTAAACTTTTAAACAAATTTCTACTAAACCTTTATAACAAGATGTTAAAGCTTACACTACCATTTCCTATAACTGAGTCAAGACCCTCTTCCAGATAGAAGACTCCGACCTTTGCTGTATAGTGCACTTACATGTGCACAGGCAAAATATCTCAGGTGAGGACACTAAGTTATGCATTTATTCCTGAAGGCTTCCTACTCAGTTCAAGGACTGGGAAGTCATCTCAGGCTAGTACTAGGATGCAGAAAACACACTCTGTACCTAATTAGGGCCACCCAGTGAGCCCATATGTGGGGTACTGCACTCCTAATTTACCCACTACCCCTACTGCCAACTAACTGTGCTCTGCTATGTGTGTGTGTGGTTTTTTTTTAGAAAGTACTGATGATTCTACTGGACGACATGGCTTTCTGTCTCAAGGAGGAAGGTTTTTCCCCCCATAGCGAATCTTGCTTCTGGAACATTCTAGAGTTCCATACTTACTCAGAAACGACACTCACTTTGGTCAGCTAAGGACTGTAGCCTTAGCCTTCAAGAAAGTAATCTTGCTTAATAGTCTTGTGTTGGTTCCCTTTGAGCATAATAAATCTGTCTCTGGTCTGTAAGCAGATGATTCTGCTGTGCATGCAGGCTGCATGACCAGAGATTGGCCTATGCTCTTTGGTTGCATAAAGGCTATATTTAGTTACATACCAATATTTTCTAAATGCTATAGCAACATTAGTATTCATGCTCTCTCAGAAATGGATTTATTATATCAATATAGTTCATTCTCAGTGTGGCGAGATCTGTGAATACTTAAATCTGTAGACTGGAACCGTGAACAGACAAGACATATCTTTCTACAAACCTGAGAAAAACCTAAAGTTTGCAGGAAAATCTGATTTTAAAAAAAAACAACACTTTGGAGGTTAAACCCTCCAAAATAACAGCAGTAGCACCTGCAGCTTTAAGAACCAAGTGGCCTCAGTAGACATTGCTAGGCAACCACAACAGTATTGCCAGTTGAAGCCTTGGTTTCTGTCAGTAAAAGGAAAGAGCAGGAAAGGGAAA